TATTCTTACTTTGGAATACATAAATAGCAACAGCAAATTCACATTTCTGCTGCTAGACTGCGACGCAACAATTTCTTTTCCAACCGAGTGAGATTTCAAGTTTCTGACTGAAGGAATTTCAAAATGTCAAAAAGAAATGCTAGTTCTTAGATACCGTTATTGAGAAACCATTTTTGATAATCGCAGCAATAGCGCTAAGCTCGTCACGCCGCATAAACCAAAAATTTATCGTTGTCCTACCCTGCATCGTAAGTGTTATTTTCATCATTAATGGTATTTTCCGCTCATCAGACGCAGGCAATTTCCTAAACATTTAAAGGAACTGACGACAAATGTTATTGTAATTCATTTTTAAAGTAATATGTAAGTAAATTGAACACTTTAAAATGACCAATTTACAGTATCTTGCTGATTACGGTAATCAAATGAAAGAAAGTGAATTAGCAAAAAGAACTGTCTAAGTACTGGTTGCGCAAAATGTGAGCGGGTTCTTGGAACCCCTGGATCGCTTATGAATCGATAGCATAACACTTGTGAGGGAGGTAAGCATGATTTTACCGGGTGGCAGCGAAAAGGAAGGCCTCTTCAAAATATATTTTCGTCTGTCCTCCGCACCTGCTATTTGGTTGGTGATGCTGCGAACAAAATATGAATGATAAAGGATTTCATTATCACTTTCATCATGAGGGACGCGGCTGTGATCAGCCTTGGCGGATAGTGGAACTGATTGAAAAAGTCTGGGTGTCAGCATTCTCGGCGCGTTTTCCTCAGAGTGCATCTTCCTGAATCGAACGCTTGTATTCCACCTACGAAGCTATTTCAAATCAGTACCACCGGAACTTGACCTTAACCGACATTATACCTCCGGTCCGCACTTTAACTCTATTCCCTTTGATGTTGACGATATTTTCAAGTCAATTTGCAGCGGCTACTCGTATCTTCACTAAATTGTTTTGATAACCAAAACAACTAATTCTTGGTAAGGTTTTGCTTTATTTAAAATAAGAAGGAATATTAGCAGGAAGGCATATTAAAAACGGATGAAAAGAGATGAACAGAAAGGAAGGTAAGAGATGAGAATTAGAAAAAGTTCACTATAAGTCGCTCATTCTTCAACGACAAGGTGATGCTTATTTTGAAACACGGTCAGCCGAAGTTCATGTCTGGCTCTTCATCTATAAATGTGACAATTTTTCTAGCTGCTTTGACCAGTGCTGCATCGTCTGGTGGTCAACTTGCCAGTTGGGATTGGTGTTTGTTGAAATTTAGCAGTGCTATAAGCCTTTTATATATCCTTCTGATTTCACTGTTTTTTTTTGCAATTATAATACCATTTTGCGACAGTCTGTTTTGTAAAAGCAAGCACAGTTCAGAATTCAGGCGTAACGGGCGTACGTTGGGACAGCGTTGGCGTAATCGGTTGGAAAGAAATAGCTAACGAAAGCCACGCGACAAGCTTCAGCCCATGGACCGTATGAAATTATTACATTTTCACCGAAATCGATATTGATGTCGCAAATTGGTTCTGATGACGAATCACCTAAATAAAACCGAAGAAAGTGATGTATTCAAGATTACAAATCTTTTGGAATTTCTAAGCTAAATCGTGGCTTACAGCTGAACCAAGTATCCAATAAATGTCTAAATCAAGCATTTCTGATGATCTTTTGAGAAGTTTCTAAGCGGTTTTTCTATTGCAGTATTTTTCAAAAATTTTTAATAAAAATCCTCGAAAAAATCTGATTTAAATACGTCTGAAATTGAGAAAATACAAAGCAAAAACAAATTTATAATGAAAATAGAAATCAAAATCTTTTGTAAAAGAAGTCGACTGCAAATTTTTTAGATTATCCTTTTTTAGCAGCTGGTGCTATTTTAGGAGCAATAGATCTCTTATGAAATAAAAGCCATTGTTTTTTCACTTACAGCATGAATGAATATTAT